TCATTTAACTACTTGGAAAGTATATGCAGATTATCAGGATGCTTTCAATTAATTACATTAGTAAGTCAATTAAGAACTTGTTTTAAAATTTAACTTCATGAATTATCTAATAGGTAACACATCATTTATCCCCTAACTTTTATAGACATAATGTTGGACTAGGACCCTGTGAAGGGGTACAGACAGGCATATCAAGCATTTCCATGTGCTACATGGGTATTGTCCAGTAATGTGTTGATGTTTTTTTTGTCTACAAAATCTAATTTATTAATAATAAAGTCATTTTTAGAAGGTCAAGCATCCTAAATGTTGTTAAAGGAAAGCACAAAATACTGAAGAAATTTTCATTGAAAGGGCAATATAACCCCCAAATACCAAGCTCCTCCCTGCCATTGACTGATAGTGACCATGCAGGACAGGGTAGAACCAGCTCCCTCCCTCCACCCCCCACCCCATGGGCTTGCTCAGCTAAGACTTTCGCCAGGACCTGCAGCCTATTATTTACGTAATTTGTAAGTATCCTCCTTTGTTTTGCCTAAGCTGTGCTTTCAGGTTGTGAGCTTGTTGAAAAGGTCAGTGCAGATTCAAGTTTCTGATTTGCTCCTCCATTGTTTTGAGAAGAAGCCCACCATGACAACAATGCTCTCGACTTCCATCTGCAGTCGGTCCTCCTTTTCCCAGGGAGAACTCTTCCACGCACCATTTTGTGTTTATACACTTTGGAAACAATGTGGTGTCTAGAGAAGATTGGATCTGCATGAAACTAAGTCTCATGAGCACAGATGGAATTGTAAACAGGAAACCAGTGGGGAGTTAATTGTGTGGCATCTGGCACTGGGGTCTAGCAGAGGCAAACAAGCCATCTCCCCACTGCCTTCTGACAAGAGAGGGCTACCCCCTAAAGACAAAGGTGGAAAACGGAGTCCCCATTCTTGTGCCTGCTATCCATGATTCATTGTTATTAGCTGCTAATGGCAGAAGGGATCTCAATGACTCAGTGCATTTAGGACAAAAAGTAAAATGTAATATCCCATAGCCCTGGATGCCACAAAAAATGGGAAGATTTCCATGGTTTCATCAAAATGAGGTTATGCAAGGATAACAAATACTCGTTTGGTTGCCTCTTTCTTTTCTCCCTTCTGTACTTTTACTGGCTCTGACTGTAGTCACAATAGGCCACCCCCATGAGCTGTCTCTTTCCCTGGTTCAGGTGGGGACACTGGGACAGGACAGGAAATGGATTTCCACTGGAGAAAGCAGCATTTGTTGTTACGCTCTCATTCGTTACCAAAACAAAATAGACTAAAGGGAAGACAGAAACCAACTGTGGTTAGAATACGGAGCACCCGGAATCTGGATGGTCTTTAAAGGATAGGTAACATAAAGGAAGCACAGCTTTCTGACAACAGGCTTTAGGCACTCCTATGGGATTGTTTCCAGGCCAAGTGCTTTCTGGCAAGTGAGAGTGGCTGTCTTGAGAGCCAGCATGTACTGTCAGGGGGAGCGGGGAATTCAGAGACTGAAATATGCTGGTTCAAACTATCGGGTCCATATATCAACGATTGTCCAGAGTGAAAGGTTCTACTGACAGGGCAATCCCTCTTTGATCCTGAAGTTTGATTGATTGGTTGATCAAGTTGGAAGCAAAAGTTTGATACTCATGGGAAGGAAGGCAAGTTTAAGGTCCCAAACAAAGTTTTGTTTAGGGTTTAACCTATGAAATGGGATATAGATACCTATTTTAAATATCTATTTTCCACTTTTTAGAAAAACACTGAAATGCTTGAATATGCTTGTCTGTACCCCTTCACAGGGTCCTAGTACAACACTATGTCTATAAAAGTTAGGGGATAAATGATGTGTCACCTATTAGATAACTCATTAAGTTAAATTTTTAAAGATTTGGACTCTAAGCCTAGTGGTACCATCTCATTGCATGATCCTGAAGACTCAGTGTCATATTCCTTGGCTTTCTTGTGCCTAAAATGAGTGCATTGGATTAGATGGACATTGGGTCTTTCTTGTTGTGAAAGATAATCATTCTAGTTTTTGCAATGGACTCTTTATAGGATCTAGTAATTAGTAAGTACATATTAAATTTAAATCTGACTCATTCATTTATTATCCTGTGGGACACTCCCAGATATTTGAAGAGCAACTTTGGGTAACACGTTTGTTGTTTTTTTGCCCTTAAGCAATGGGTAAATTAATGCTTGTTGAGTAGGTAAAAAACTCCTAAATTCAGCAACTTAATAGTGAAGTGCTTAAGAGTTGAAAATGCAAGGAGTGGGGAGCCACTCGGCCCCCATGCCAGCTATGTGGACAACAGCCCCTCCCCTCAGAAGAAGCTACTTGAGAGGACAACAATGAAGCTGTAGTTAGGGGAGAGGGGCATCTCTGATCAGAGCAAACGGGAGCACTTAGGGGGAGGAAGAGAGAGTGGAGCACATCCTGACCCAACAGGCCTGGAGGACGACATCCCTGCTCTGAACAGCCTGTGGACAGAGTGGACAATATGGCTGATCCCACCACGAGACACGCCATCCCTTGATGGCCCCGGGCTCTAAGGGGGACAACACTGGAGACTCAGTGTCGGGACTGGCCCAGACTGACCCTGAGCCACGGAGGCAAACCACAAAATGTGTGTGGCAAAGCAACCGTGGGAGCAGAGAAGAGAGCCCCCGAGGGTGTACAAAGGATAGACTTGGGGGCCAGAACACGGTACCCCATCGGTCTTGACTGAAGGACACACCTAGAGATAAAAAAATCACACCGATCTATTTATAGGTATTTCTTTCTCCTTAATTTTTTTTTCTCGTTTAATTAACTTATTCTGCTATGGGTAATTGGTTTCATTTTTTGTTGCCATCGCTGTGCTGTCACTGATTGCCTATCTTGCTATGGCTTGGTTTTTCATGCATATTAGTATCTCTACAGATCTATCTAGATAAGATAGACTGGATGA